TATTAGTATTAAATTATTTTTTGATATTATCATCGATCGTTTTGCTTGTAAATTATAAAAGCAAAACAAATTTGAATATTTAATTATGTACATTTATAAATTTGAATTTAAATGTTTCAATATTAAAATATTCAAATTTTAATAGTTAATAATAAATATAGTGTTTGAATTACTTTTTTTTTTTCATAATTTCAAATTTTTCCTTTTTTTCTTTTGTTAAAACATACTAATTTTAAACAAATTTTGAAATGATTCTAAGTTCATATATTCAAAATAAGCTACGAATTCATTGAATTAACCTAATTTTGAATCACGATGCAAATAACAATAATAATAAAAGTTGTTGCAAATTGTTTAATATTCAGCAAGTGAACAAAATTTAAAAAAACTTACCACCAAAGTAATACCGATAGTAAATTCGCTTTTTCTCGTGGATTTGGTTTCGATTTCAAATTGGTTGTGTCCATCTTCTTCTATATGCTGCATTAACCCACCGTTATTAATTCTTTAAATCGCTAGCGAGAAAAGTACTCAAGTATAATTCGTTTTAAGGGAGAAAAAATAAGAAAATCGTGAACACTCGTATTGATTTCTTAAATAAAGACGATTTTATCATTCAAGGAGCTTACATATCTACTTGAGAGTCCTCTTAACGAATAATCTGATTGCTGACTAATTGAGCAATCACTTGAAAATTGACACGACACAGACACAATAAGGAATCTTGAGAGCAATCACTAAATTCACGTTGTCGATATTCCAGATAGATAAATCCCGTTCGATGATAGTTCAACCAAATCCACTGTCCGGAATCGTTCTTTGTCTTCGCATGGAACTGTATCGTGGAAGAAAATAAAAGGTACACCTGTTGAACACCTATATTTAAGACAAAAAGAGATCATGTATCAGATCTAAATTTTTCGTTTGTATCGTGTATTCTTTCCCTTTATCTTATTATTCGCTTAGTCACTGTTCAAACGACAAGAAGCTTTTAATATTTTGACACGATTTAATAGATATAAAGGAATATTTGCTTGTTATTTACTGATGATAATTCTATTTTGTAATTATTAAATATTATAATTATTATTATATGAAATCCTGATACAATAAAACTATAAAATTTTGAAGCTAATGAAACGAATAAAACCAAAATATAAAAATCAATAAATTAAACTTGTGATAAAGAAACTGACTCAATAACATTTATCTTCATAATATATATATATATATATATATATATATATATGTATATCGAAAGCAATATTTAATGTATTTAATATATTTAATTGTAAATATGTTTAAATAATCAATTATTTGTCTCTTTAGGGATATATATAGAAATATATATCGAAATTATCATTTTATGATATTATTGCATCACATGACCTTGAATTCTCTATTTGTAAAAATACATTGGAATTAAATTTTACAAAAGCGTAACGATGTACTTAAAATTCATCGATCGTGTTAGAATGTAATGAGTTGAGTAATTTGTAGCAACCATTGTCACGATTTTGATTCACAATTAGCTGATGAAACATAATATCGTTTAATCAAAGAAATAAAATTTAACATACGTTGTAACATAAATATGTAATATGAATATATTGCAAAAAGTTAGTGATAGTATTAGAATAAAGATAACGAGTCAACATTGTTATCATTCAATTGTAAACATTATTGTTCCAATATCGTAAAAATAAAAGTACGAGAAAAATAAAAACATATTAAAAATATATATATATATATATATATATTAAAATACATAAGTAAAATAATAAGTATATATGTATTTTAAATTATTTAGAAAACATTACAAATATTTTTTCAAATTATCACTTGTATATAGACAAATAAAAAGATAAAAATAACGCTAGTCATCTGTCATTCATAAAACTATTTATTTATACTATCACGAAATGAGATAAAATTAAAAAATTTTCAGAAATTTAAATTAAATTTAAAAAAATATACAAAACACAATAAAATAATAACTTTTTGAATATATCTTGCGTATGATGAAACTTATATACATTAGATAGAAGTTACATATTTGCTTAAATAAAACTATCAAACAAAATAGAAATGAGTTCGTCATGATTATTCAGCAAAAAATTCTATAAAATTTCTGTATTATCATTAAAGATCATTATTTATATAATTTTATATAATCTTATTAAAATATAAGTAATATTTTATTCAAAAAAGATTATATGTAATTCTAATTAGTAAAACTAATTATTGTTACCAATATACGTAAAAATAAAAGTAACGAAGAAAAAATAAAAACAATAATTAAAATATATATATATATATATATATATATATATATATTAAAATACATAAGTAAAATAATAAGTATATATGTATTTTAAATTATTTTAGAAAACATTACAAAATTTTTTCAAATTATCACTTGTATATAGACAAATAAAAAGATAAAAATAACGCTAGTCATCTGTCATTCATAAAACTATTTATTTATACTATCACGAAATGAGATAAAATTAAAAAATTTTCAGAAATTTAAATTAAATTTAAAAAAATATACAAAACACAATAAAATAATAACTTTTTGAATATATCTTGCGTATGATGAAACTTATATACATTAGATAGAAGTTACATATTTGCTTAAATAAAACTATCAAACAAAATAGAAATGAGTTCGTCATGATTATTCAGCAAAAAATTCTATAAAATTTCTGTATTATCATTAAAGATCATTATTTATATAATTTTATATAATCTTATTAAAATATAAGTAATATTTTATTCAAAAAAGATTATATGTAAAAAATATATTTATGTAAGTTGATAAAAAAAAAAAATGTCGTTTGTCTTTACGCAATTATACGTATATAAATCTATATAATTATTAGTCGTGGAAAGCTTTTTCCAGGAAATACCATGAACTTGCAATAAATTAAGGCAATAATTATATCATGACATTTATTGTATTGTTATCAGTTCCAAACTCAGGTTTTACGTGATATGAACATAGATTACGATTTTACATTTTCATAATTTTTACTTCTACAAAGAAAAGAGAAATTATAAATGGTGCTGAATCAGTAAACAACATTATAGTTTTAAATTCCATTCGATACATGCGGATGTGTATACACTGTCATAAAACAAGCTATGGCGAAGGTAAACGAACCGTCGTGTTCTACGACATTGAAAATTTTAACAAATTTATCTATGATCTAAATGAGAAGATTCGCATTGCATACATCATGTGCATTATATAAAAATATATTTAAATTACAATTTTAAAAAATTTAATGAATAATATTTTTATTTTATACTTAATAATTTAATTATTACCATATTTCAATGTACATTTTTAAATATATTATACTTTTAAAAAATATTATTACATTATAAATAACATATATAAATAATATTTATAACATTATAAATAATGATATAACAAAAATATTAATTAATATTATAATATTAATATAATATTAAATTTAAAAAAATTAAATATGAAACTTTATAAAGAATAATTGAAACACAATTGTTATGCAATAAAAAATCTCTTCAAATTATTATCAGAAATTATATTTATGTAAAAATGCATTAAAAAATTACAAGAGAATTTTTTCATATAAATTATAATTTTTCAGTCATCATTATTTAAAAATAATAAATTTTTATATTATTAATTATACATCGTTCTTCAATGGATGTGAATGAGTTCCTTCTAGTTGTGTAACGTAGTCAGGCTAATGGTCGCATTAAACGATGCCACGCGAAATTGTTATTAAGACAGAGAAGCTGAGAACGGGTCAATTGTGTACGGCACGTGATGTGTACTGTTCAGTATAGTATATCACGATTCTTTTCAATTTGATTTAATGCATATTGCCATGAGTAACTCGTAACATTTTATTTTTGTGGAAAGTAATTTCCAATTTCCACTATACAATTTCACATAAATTATATGATTTTTATCAAATAGTAACTTATCTAATTTATTAAAATTTTTTCCAATTATTAAAATCATTTTCTTAAAAAGCGTTGTAATTGTACTATTCTGTAAATAGTCTAACAGAGATATTTTCAGCTAAGGGACAAGAATGTCTCAATCTGGCATGCAAAGTGGTCTTAATGTTAACACAGCAGTATTTCATATATGCTTATTATGATTTGAAAAAGAATTTTGAAAAATCGAATGAAATATACATACATACATAAAACATTTGATAAATATATATTTTTACTTACTTTCTGTATTTGTATCATTCGTTTTCTACTTAACAAAAGAATATTATCGATGAATGTTACATTCTATAAATTAGATTTGTTTTCTTACGAGTAATGTCGTTAAACGTTTCGATAAATCGAAACGATAAGTACGCCTGCCTCCTTAGTACAAAGCCTGCACCGCTACTGAATACAGATCTTGTCTCTTTCCCTTTCCTTTAGTTGCTTCTTCGTTCTGTGACGTATACTCAATATGTAGCTACTATTTAACTATCAATATAACTGATTTGTATGTATTTTTATGATAATACATATGATTTTCTATACTATTTTTATATAATAATTTTTATATAATTCTACATATTAGAAATTCAATAAATAAAAAATATAATATTTTCTTTTTAAATAATTACTTAATCGTAAGTTTACATACTAGTTTTCTATACTTTTTGATATCGTTCAAAAAGTTTTTAACATTTTTTATTTGGATATTAACATACATTAAAAAATTAATTTACAATTACATTTTTTATAATTTCTTGTTAAAAATTTATAGTAAAAAGAAATATAAATAGTTACAAAAATTACAAAAATATATACATATATGAAGATGATAACCTAACCTAATCAAAGTTTATGTATAAATCTTACGTATCTTAATAATAATAAAATCTATGTATATTTAATAATTATAAAAATTAATTCAATAAATTTAAGAATGAAATCAGTTTATTTTATTTTCAAAACAATGTCATAGGCTACTTACAAAAATAATGCTATGATTACAATTTCTTAATATTTAATGCAATAAATGCTGATACGATATGTATTATCTTAATGCCATGAAATGTTTGTATCTATGTACACATTTGTATATATTTATTTTTTTTAAATATTTTGTAGAGTAAGAATTTAGGCCTTATATAAATATTGTCATTTGTTAAGTTTTCACTTATTCTATTTAGCATTTCATTTCACGACCTTTTAGATGTCGTACAATAATTTTACAATTATGAAACAATTCTGATCTCCTCTTGTAAAATCAAGAAAATTAGAAATTTTACTATGTTTTAATGGTGCATAATACGCACACGCATACTTTACACACATTAGCAGACCTAACATTGGTCAAATGAAAATCAGATGAGAAAATTTTTTTTGGAATGCATTCTTAGAATAATATTAAAGATTAGTCCCCTTATTTTTTCTTGTATATTAGACATATAAATAGACAAGTGTTCAATTGCACTACTCCATTAAAGCAATGTTAATCAATTACTGTTCATATTTTATAATTATTTTTGATATTTATATGGAGTAACGAATATCATGGCAAAATACTCAAATTTAAATGCGTTCAGTCATAAAATTGTCAAAATATGAATTATTACAAAAAGGACTAAAACCATAATTTGTCTATATTGATAAAAAAATTACGAAGGATCTCTTTGAGAACGTGAAAATACCTCCGAAATAATTAAACTGTTTGCATGATTTGTAAGATGTTTCATTTGGATGTTGCAATATAAACATCTAGCAAAAATTCGATATATTTCTATAAAATAAAATAAAAATAAAATAACTAATTAGTTGTATTTGTTATTTGCCAAATATAAAGGCATTATTTTTAACTAAAAAAAAAAAAAAAAAGAAAAAAAAGAAGCATAATACTTCTAAAATATACTGGTATCAGAATTGTTCTCTTCTTAAAACGTTTAATCTCAAGCCATAATTATCGAGTTTGTGGGTTCGATAACATCAATACAAGTTTTTCGTGAGCGTATGCCAAATTTTTAGCTAAACCTTTACAACATCCATTCTCTTGTATAGTTTGGAATCTATAAGTTCGGAAATTCTTCTCTGTGTCTATATATGTAACAGCCGCCATTAGCGGACACATAATAATCTTTGTATGATCAAGGAAATTTATCTATAAGAAAAAAAAAAAAAAAAAAAAAGAAAAAGAAAAGATATGGATTAACGATTATATTTAATTTAAAACTTAAATACGAATATGTTTAGAATATTTAATTACTCACTTGTACTGTTCCATTAGTCAATTGCATAACTACAGCACTTTGTGTTCTAAACCATTGATGCATGTATGGTATCCTAGACATAGCATCACTTGGCTTTACAGCAAAAGAACATCCGGCCTTCATTAAATGTTCTTTCATATATTTTAGGAAAAAATTCATCAGCCTCATTTTCTTCTCTAATTCAGATGGATATTCTTTGACTGTGTAATATAATTCGTTTCCTTCTCGATTTATATAATGAATATTGAAACAATTGGCTAACATTATTAAACGGGTACCATCATTAAACATTACACCCACACCATCGTCAGAAAGTTGATATCCGAATCCATATTTATCCGAGTAATCAACCCATTTGCTTATCCATACAACAGGTTGTGCAGCTGGATCAGTCATTTCATCTGAATAAGTTAAAATAAAATATATTTATACTTAAAATTTTTTAATTATTTGTTTAATTAAATTAAATTAAAAAAAATTTATATTATATAAGTTATCATTAAAATAATATAAAATTATCACTTTAAAAAAAAAATATTAGTTTTAATAATATGGGGAAATAGAATAGGACATGAGATTCGTGCCTGAGGTTTCCGCAAAAATCTGATAAGGTCTTGAATATTCTGCATCAGGAAATAATTTCCGTAAGTATAAACGAAAATTTCCATGCAAAACGCAATAATAAAATTTAATCCTTGGATGATTGTACCTGCTGATGAAGTTGTTTCTCTACTTGGTTTAGCCTTTAATACAGCACTCAGCTGTTCTCTCAATGTTTGAAGCATTTTTCTAATATCAAGATTCAGTTTTTGAACTTCACTAATTGCATCTGCGAGTTTTGTCTTACGCACCGGACTATTAGGTACGCGGAATACAAAATCTTGTCCTTCTCCTCCTACATTAGTATTCATTTCAGATAATGGTTTACGTTGATTATGCATTTCTAACATGTCTAGGCGAGGTGCCATTGTTAAACATGATAATGGTAAGCTAAGTGGCATAAATCCTATTATAAAATTTAAAGAACAATTAATAAAAATATTTCATAATAACATTAATATTATTCTATAATATTTTAACAAAATTTGATAATAAGTACCACAAGTAAAAAATGGATCTTTCATTAGTTTTGTTATGGAAGGACGTTTAGATGGATTTCCTTGTAACATATTAGATATCATATTCATTGCAATTGTATTGATATGTGTAGGAATTTTATATTGGACTTGTTTTATTCTAGCATAGGTTTCTTTTAAGCTTGATGTTTCGAATGGAGGTTTTCCTACAAGCAAAGTGTACATAATGCATCCAATACTCCATATATCAACTTCATAAGAATGTCCAGCTTTAGTTAAAATTTCTGGTGCTATATAATTAGGTGTACCACACACAGTTCTATTAATAAAATAAAAAATTCATTTTTTTCATATTAATTTCATACTAAATATTAAAATATATACAAAAATAAACAGAACAATTACTTTTTACGTTCTCCTTCATGTTCTAATCTGGTGGCTAAACCAAAATCACCAATTTTAACCTGTAGATCATCACTCAAAAATAAGTTACCTAATTTAAGGTCCCTATGAATTATTTTATTTTGGTGTAAATAATTGACACCATCCAAAATTTGCTTCATATAATATCTGGTTTCACATTCCGTTAGTGCTTTTCTACGTTTATGTAATTCCATCATTGACTAGAAAATATAATTTCCACTTTAATAATACATATATAACTTTAATAACATTTCGTTTTGGATCATTAAGTATTATTAACATTTTATGTTTTTTGATAATATTCGATCAATGGAATTCAAAAATATTAATTTTAAATTTAGAATTCCAATTTAAATATTATGCGTACATGAAAGTTAGTATTTATGCGTATTTTGACGCCATATTGGCTTCGTCCATATAAACTCATTATAAGGCGGGTTAATCAAATTTGATTGTATCGATAAATATTATGTTTCATTTATTGCATTTATATTTAAATTTAAATTTGATTTAAATTATAATTAAATTTGAACTTTATTTAGATTATGATTGAATATGATTTTAATATATTAAGGTTATAATTACATTTGAGTCTAATTTATAATTAAATTGATCATATCACTATTAATTTCATTAAATAATAAATTAATATTAATTAAATTAGAAATTTTAATTTAAGTTATATTTTGAGTTTTTATTTTGATTAGATTTAAGTTAGATTTTTCGAATTTTAGTTAAGTTTTAAGTAGATCAAAAGTAAACTGATAGTTTTATAACCTGTATAGGTTACATAACAATATAGTATGAAAATAATCATATTAAAAATACTTTTTTTTTATATACACATAACTTTTAGATATCTAATGGATATCTAAATTTAAAATTGTTATTTTTTAATACCATTTTAATATTAACAAAAGACAAAAATAAATAAATTTATTTTGTTTGTATATAGTTCAAAACAAAGATTAATTATATTTGTACTTTTGGAAAAATTTTTTAATTAAAAGATCATAAGAAAATGTTTACCCTTTTCCTGCATAGCTCTAAAATTATATATACATTTTGTGGATCATCAAAAAAACCATAAAAGCCTACAATATTTTTATGGTTCAAAGTTTGATGAATGGAAATTTCTTGTGTCATTTTCTCTCTTTGATTGCTCTTTGTAATTTGTGATTTTGGCACAATTTTTCCAGCAAATACACGATGTGACTTTGATTCTCTAATTTCATAACATTTTGCAAAACCACCCTAAATAAGACATATAAAGCATAAATAAAATATAAGATAAAATATAAAATAAAATACAAGTAAAGATAGAAAATAAAAACTACATATATAAAAGATATTAAAATATATATTGTATATATAAAATATACAATAATCTTTTGCAATATATATAATTCTTTACATTAAATAGCATTCAATGCAATGAATTTAAGTTATGTTTTCTTAAAAACTTATATTCTATGTATTTAATAAAATTGATATTAAGATTTAAATAAAAAAAAATAAGTAAATAAAAAAGTCAATTATTTTTATTATATATTATCAAAATTTTCATAAAATTTATAAAAAGAAAGCAACAAGTATTAAAAATTGCTACATACTGACCAAAAAATTATTTGATATATAATTTTATTGGACTAAAATTAATCCAAAAAGATAGAAATATAAAATTATTATAATTTTTATTCACATAAAAAATATGAGATATAAGAAAAAATTATACTCACTTTTCCAAAAAATCGTCCCTTGATATAACTTTTTCCCGAGTTTACATCGTATATCACGTCAGGAATAACGCATTCTTTCTCGTCTTTTGACATCTTGTATTATTTTTTGGCTGGATTGTGCACTATATGATGTAAAACGTCGTGTTCTGGTTAATATTACTCACGTTACTTGTATGTTCCACGAAAAGAAATATATTCAATGCTAACTTTCTTCTCAAATACAAATTTTGCTGTTTTTGTCATGCGGAAGACAAGCAACGGATTTCAATATTTAAATCTCAATTTCTTAACCAATCCCGCGCTTCCCCATATATCTAACCATAGGTTGAATCCATAGGTATACTTATTCACCATACTTTGACAATTTAAAGATAAATTCTCATGAATCTCATTATACTATTACATAAAAATAATTTTAAATGTTTAATATTTTATTTAAGTTCAAAAATATTTTGAATAATTGCAAATATATATGAACAGGATATTTAAAAAAATTACATCTAGAAATCTTATAATAGTATATTCAATAATGTTATTTAAATTAAATTCCTTTTATATATTTAAAGCAATTAAATTTATATATTGTTATTCGAATTAAATATTCTTTTTCGGTTATGTTTTTTAAAATGTTGTTGTAATACATGAAAACTCTTCAAAATAAATAGGATATCCGGTAATACAACAGTATAGTAATTTGAGTGGTGTGGTCGATGCTTCTTTTTCCGGCAACCGGCGTCCATTTTCGTTGTTGGATTGTCTAAGATTGGCGCGTTTGGTATTTATGAAAAGATTATTTAGAAATAAGTGAAATGTAAGTACGTTTAAGTAGACATATAATGTGCATTTTATTGAAACATTTTTTTATGAATCATTTAGTGTATGCAAAAAATAATTGTGATTGAAAAAAACTTCGTATATTTCATTAAAAATTTTAGCGTCTATATTATAATCAATATTCCTTATTCTTATTGAGAAATTTTATTCTTAAATCTTAGATATATCTATAAATGGAAGGTGCACCAGCTAGTAGAGGTGGATTTCGCGGTGGTCGTGGTGGTCCTGGTGGTCCTATGAGAGGACGCGGAGGTTTTGGAGACAGGGGAAGGTATATCTATATATATTTACTATTAATTTATATATGTATATATATGTAATGTATGCAACTTGCAATATATATGAAAAAATATAAAATAGCTACTTAATTGATTTCATTTTTTTAAAGAGTTTATATAAATAATGATACAAAATATAAAATTGTTTTTATAGGGGTGGACCTCCAAGAGGAGGAGGAGGTATGATGAGAGGTGGTAGAGGTAGTGGACCTGGAGGTGGTATGAGAGGTGGACCACCTGGAATGAGAGGCAGAGGTGGTCCTCCTGGTAGAGGTGGTCGTGGTGGTGGACATTTTCCTCCTGGGTATTTAAATATAAAATTATATTTTATTTAATTTATTTTGTTCTTTTTATTTATTTATATCATTATATCAGAGGACCACCAGATCCAGGAATGTCTACTGGTCCAGGAGGTGGTGGACCACCATTGCCAGGAATGGGAGGTCCACCACGTGGTGGCAGTAGAGGAGGTGGAAGCAGTGGTTTTCGAGGTAGAGGAAGAGGTGATTTTGGTAGAGGAGATAATCGTGGAGGTAGTAGTAATTTTCGAGGTAGAGGAGGAATGGATAGAGGCAGCAGAGGTGGATCTAGGTAAAATTTATAATCTTTCTTTCTCTCTATTAAATTTAAAATTATGTAAAGAAAAAAAGTTATGTTATTTTAGGGGAGGATCTGGCAGAGGTGGTCCAGGAGGCAGAGGTTTTGGAGATCGTGGGAATAGAGGTAGTGGACGTGGTGGTGGTGGTCCATCAAAAAGAGGTGGTGGACCTCCAGGTTCGAGTGGACCTTCAAAAAGACCAAGATTTGATCAACCATCTTCTCAACCTGCAAATGGTTATGCAACACAACCACCAAGGTATTTAGTAGTTTTAATTAATTTGAATAGATTTCATGTAATAAAAATAAAAAATTTTATTATCAAAAAATTTATGATATAGTCAAGGCGGATATGGAGGAAGTACTAGCAATGCTTATGGTGGAGGACAACAACAACCACAACAGCAACAGCCTGTGGGATATGGTGGCGGTTATGGATCACAAAATTATACTCAATCATCATATCAAAGTTATGAAAGTTACCAGCAACCTCCAGATTATGGTCAAACAGCTGTAAGCCAGTTAATGCTATTAATTCAAAAAGAATAGAATCTCTAAACAAATTATATAATTTTATTTAGGGATATCCACCATCAGCAGCTACTGATAGTAGGTATGGTGGAGCACCTACTGTACCAGCTACAGGAGCTTTCAGTGCTGGTGATCCTTATAGTTATGGCAAAGCACCACCATCAGGTTAGTTTATAGTTATAATAATATGAACTCATCATATTTTATAGTTTAAATTCTGTCGCCGAAATTAAAAAGAACAATTAAGAAATCCCTTTTCGGAAATAATATAAAGGGCAATATTATTGTTAACTTCGTGGTGTAATTAATATAATATACTGCGTGCACAGCCAATTACCAGCAGGAGGCAGTGGTAGCAGTAGCAGGGGGTGGGGGTGCAGGTTATGCCCCCATTAACTCTTACGATGACCGATCTTCTAATGCCACTTCTATGACCAACAGGGGTGGTTACTCGACACAACTTTATGGTTAGTTTTTTCCGTTCGACACCACGTTTTACATCACGTATTTATTTTTTCCTCGGTTTCATTTCAAAAAAAAAGGGACAAAGAAGGAAAATGAAGAAAATAAAAAATTATATATTTTTTCTTTATATTTTTAAATTAGAAGCACTTGTTATTTTCAAATATGAATCGATTCAGACGAGAAACGCTTAATTATCAAAAATTAAAAATTTACTTTCTTTTTAAAACGAATTTTAAATAATAGATTCTATTTAACTTTTATCTTTGAATCTATTAGTTTAAATAAAATTGGATATCATAATTATTCCCATTTAAAAAAAGAAATATTAGTACAAAAATTGGTAAAGAAGGTAAAGAAAAAAATGTGGCTATTTTCGTCTGGATACCAACACTGCAGCACTGCCTCCTGCCATTCTTCATTCCAGAATAATACTGTATTTTATCATCAGTATTTTCACACCCAAGCAAAAAAAACATTATAATGTTTCGCAAAATTCATTTTTACATAGGTAAAATACAATTGAAGTTTTAAATCTAGTGAGTTACAGATTTTTCTCGTCTGAGTCACATCTACATTAATTGAAATAGTTAATTGATAACTTCTAACTCTTATTTGTTATATTTACAGATTACTCGAGTCAAGATGGTGTATATGGAAAACAAGATTATGGTAAGTACAATTTACAATCCAGAAAAAATTTTTAACTTCTGAAAGGCAATATTTTACCGTGAATAAAATACTTAGGATCGGGTTTAAACATACCACCAAGAAAACGATCACATTTGCTAGTTTAATGAAATGAAGATATTTGAAAGAAAATAAAAACAAAATCCTATCGTGAATTTTTCAATTTATGAGGAAGAAATAGAAACATTTAATGTTAACTGCAAGAAGTAAAAACATAGCATAGGATTTTTATTATATTTTTACAAACAGTAATAAATATAACAATTCATAGCTTCGATAATAAATTATAAAATTTATATTAAATGAAGTGGCAAGTATAGATATTGTAAGATTTGTTTTAGTAATAGTAAAAAAAATTTTAATATATAATAATATATAATAGTAATAATTATAATAAATAATAATAATAATAATAATAATAATAATAATAATAATAATAATAATAATAATAAAAGAAAAAGAAGACAAATGTATCTCAAAAAGTAGGCAAATACATAGTATATATATTTATTATTCAATTTTATATGAAGATTAATATATAATATAATGTTAAATACACAGAATCACATTAAAAAAATTTATACTTAAAAGATGATTGAACGGAGAAGCTATGGTTGTTTACAGGTGGCAGTGCTGGTTACCAAAACGCCCAGTCTCAGCGACGTTATTAAATTACACATGCAACTATTTAATTCTAAATATTTAGATAACATTTCTTTTTTCCAAATTTAAAAAATAAAAGTATATCGTTCCTAGCGCGTGAAAAAGTTGGACAAATATTATTTGTCATGAACACTAAGTGTTTTATAATTAATAATTTATTTGTCACTATGACAGATTTTTATATTCAAATGAGAAAAGTGAGCTGAAAAAAAGAATAATGCTTTCTAATGAAATTTGTGATTTTCTATCTTTGTCGCGCGCATGGAAGACGCGGTAAGACCAAACGATTGTTTAATTATTATAGAAAAAAGTATAAATGACATGAACATTTTATACTTGACTTAGCAGTATAGCATTCTATTCTTTTTGTCATGTTTGGCTAACGATATTACTTTAGAATTAAGTTGAGTTGATGTACAGTTTATCTTTTTTTTTTTCTGTATCTTAAAAAGCAATCTGCGATTGTGAAACATTATTAAATCGTAATTATCTTCATTGTAATTATTAAGGACAAAGGTATTTACGCTATTTGTAAAGTCATTAATCGGTTAATCATTGTGAACATACACATACATAGCTCAATGATATTAAAAAATTTTAGATATAAAAAAAATGAATATTTTATATTCTGTATAAAAAAAAAAAAAGGAATTGTATTTTGTGGTGTATTTTGTTTTACATTTAACCGAATTGAAAAAAAAAGAATCGTGTATCAGAATATGATGCCCCCCCTTATTATGCGTTTAATAATGCGATATTTTGATTCTGAAAATATATTAATACAAAAAACAAACTTATGATATAATAAATCAGTCTTACTGTTGCGACATTTCATTTCATACGTATACATATATATATGAATCAACTTATATATAGTTTTATCATATAGAGCTCAATTTTTGCGTGAATTATATATAAAATGCTCTGCTTAGTGGTGACGAAAAAGTTTTTTGTTTTTGAGATATCAAATGGAAAAAATATTAGAACACTTATCAATGATGTTAGGAATTTATTTTAATTATAATTTAAATACTAATCGCAGATTGAAATGTCACATCGGCAGAGACAATCAAAATTTAATATTAGCGATTAAAAAAAAAAATAGATATTTATATGAAATCGAAAAGCGATGTAATTATTCAAAGTTCAATATGCATGAATACGAAAGAATGTTCCAATAAGTTGTGTACGTTAAAGTACATAAAAATTATATAAGACATAATGTGGTCTTATATTCTGTTTATTATTATAAGTTATTATGAAATTGTCTAAAACTGTATTAAAAGTCAGCGTCGCATGTCATTGGTATAGTGATAGTGAATCAATTTAATTGTTGTAAGTATTAGAGTAATAACAAGCGAAATGAAAAAAGAAACTTTGAAAAAAAGAACCATGAAAAAAACAGTAATATTTTTTTTATGTTTATTATTTCCTCACCTTTAATATGAGAACTGTATGGATTGAATTGCAAAAAAATATTTAGAAAACAGGAAAACCAGCAACTGCCTTAGAAAACGATATTCGATAAAATGATTCAATTTAAAAGAATACAGTGCATTTTATAACTAACGTAGGTATAAAATTTTTATTAAAAACAATAATCTTATGGAAAACAAATTTTTTGTAATATTCTATATGAAAAAGAGTAAGAAAAGAATTATTCTTTTTTATTGTATTATATATATATAAAATGTTCAAAGAATATTTTATGTCCAGAATGAAGTACGATATTATTGATATATATATATATATTGTGTATATATAATAACAACATTCATGGGCAATTCTGGACAATTCTATATATAAAAATTGACAAAAACTAAGTTTATTTCACAGGCGTAACAACAACCTGAGATACTTAGGGAACAGAATGAAAGAAAGAGAGAGTACCTTCCCTCTGTTACCAGCAAGGAGAATACCGATTCACACAAATAACTATACAAATTTATATGAATAAATGACGACTGTATCATAAATGTTATTAATGTCCAATGGTATCAGGTATCACATAAATGAAGCCTAGAAAATATTGTTTTTTCTGTTAGAGTATATTATGATATCTTTCATTAATTAGAATGTCTTTATTTAATTTTTCTAAGTGACTAAAAAAACATTTGATCTTTGTGATGCATCTTTTTTTCATTCAAGCAATTCTTTTTCAATATAATAAATAATAATCAGCATCACTCAATCTATTATTTTCCAACTTATCATATGCAAAAATTTAATTGCATCTTGTACATATATATACATATATAGATAGACAACGAAAGCATATTTAAAATGAAAAAGAAAAAGATAAACATTATATAGAAAAAAAAGCAATGGAAAAGCAAGCAACAAGAATATCGAATTAAATCTATGCTAACATGTATTACGCTCATATATATTAAAAGACAAATGCTCGAGTAAACCTCAACCCGAATTCAGGTGAGTAAAATAAATCTATCCGTTTTTAATAAAAAAAAAAAAAAATAAAATAAATATATATATATATATACAAATTTATTATAACGCAAATGTTAGCAAGGATAATATCTAGATCTGCATCTATCGAGTGTAAAGTGGAATAATAAAAAAAATATGTAGGGTAGTTTTATTCTAAAATAAAATAATATATATTTTAGGTATAAAATATAATATATATGCAACAATTTTAAAATTCTATTCCCGCTTTATACATACGATACCTGCAGTATATTTTTAAATTATAATAATGACAATAAGGTAACAATCGAAAGGTACACATTAAAAATTCTTTTAAAGAACACATTTGTTTATAAACACACACTATGATTTATAGTGACGTTAAAATAAAACAAAATGAAAAAGCAGGGAAGGAATTTATAAAATAATTATGAAAAAAAATTTAAGAGCATAATATATTTTTATAATTTTAATTGATAATGGACAACATTCAAATACTACATGTAAATGCGTTAATGATAGGTATTTATAAGATACTTCGTCTCTATTACATTATCTATCAATTTCTAATTTTTTATTATTAATTTCTTTAGGTTGATAATGACTATGCTGTCACAGATGGTACTACCAATTCATGAGCCAAGAAACATCTGCCACATGACTGGCATCGACGTTGTTCCTAAGAAGATTCAAGTGTATTTTTATTTTTCAATGGCGAGTATTGTAAAAAGATATAAAATATCGTATTTTCCACGTGTGTTATCGAATGACTGAGTTCTTAAAATTTGTATAAATTTAGTAATTAATTGATATATATTTATGATAAAAGAATACTTTTCTTTTACAAATAAAAAATTTATAATTTGTACGAATGTAATAAATAAGTTTTCATTTTTTATATACATTATATTTTTAATAAATTATTTATTTATATTTTATTTGTCAGAAGAAAACAAAATATAAAAAAACTCATATCGATTATCAGTGAATTCTTTATTCTTAAAATTTTTAAAAATCATTATTTAATAATATTGTATATTATTTAAAATTATCTTAATAATATTTTTTAACAATAAAAATATTTTTCAATATAAAGTTTCAATATTAATGTAACATCACATTTTTAATTTTTTTCATTTCTAATGAATAAAAAAGTAAGTATTCAAAAGTATTGTTAATATATACATTTCATCAATTCTTTTTTAAGAAAATAAACTATTATTATGAAAAATAAATTCTAACATTATTTTTTCACATAATTCTTATGCATTATGTATTTTTTAAATACAACTTTATATAAAATCTTAATTTATATAAAAACATATAAAACAAATCATTTAAAAAAAATATTCGTGTTTTATACACAATAAAGTTATTTTTATATATAGTTTTAAAATGGAAAATTTAATTGCGTAAAAGCTAATAAATTTCTTAATTTTTATTGTTTTATTTAAGAATATCACCTTATTATTTAGAAATGTAGAAGAAATGCATTACATTTAAAGAAATAAATTTCATTCTTCATTATTCATGGCACAATTTTCGATATTTGTGTGTAATTTACATCTTCATCATGAACGTTTTTTACAAATAGTATTAGATAGAAGTACTAATTGTATATAACTGTGTCCTTCGCGCATATTTATTAATCTAAAAAATATTTAAATATTTTATGAAAATAATTTTGTAATTTAATTTTTAAATTTATTACTTACCTATCTCTTTCTTGTTGTTGAATATGGACTCTATCACCTCTTTGTAATGGAGTTATTACACTTGTATAACAAGATACTTCTGTAGCTGACGTAGAAGATGCTGTAGAACATTTCACAAGTTTTTGCGTGGTTGATTTACCTTCTGAATTTAATAATATCCAATATGAATAGTTTGTTGGCTCGCCAAAATAAAAAATCTAAACAAGAAAGAGATTTATGAATATATATATATATATATATATATATATAATAA